GCGCCCGGCTGGGGAACAATCTTTTCAGTTCTCTGAGGTCACTGCCATCTCTGCTCATTGGTTCTACAATCCAAGGCCATGTTGCATGCTCTTTGAGCCTGGGGTTGTAGTTAGGCCTCACTGTTCCTTTCTTCCCCTTTCCCCATTTGTTCTTGTTGTACAATCCCAAAATGACTTCAAGGGTCCCACTCTAACCAGCTTCAGTTCTCTTTATACGTCCTGCCTTTGCAGGTTGTGTTGCCTGTGGCTGGTTTTTTGGTATCTGTGCCAAGAAACATGATCAACAGAGAGAAATCTCTGTTAGGGGGATTCTGGATACTTAATTTACTTCAGGGTCTGTGAATGACTGAAGCAGAGAAGGTGGGCAGCTACAGGCAGTTGGAATTTTCGGTCTGGAGAATAAAATCTGAAGGCTGGTGAATTCCTAACAGCCTTCCTCGACTGTGGGACCCAGAGTTGTCGCAGGAGAAACCTCTTCTCCAAGTGCCAGTCAGTAAGATGCCCTTTGTACTGTTGATTTCATTTCCCTACTTATTTATAATTCCTAAGGTCAAAATACTGAAACCAATCTGTACTTTCCCTTCTTGCCCTTTTCATCTACCATCTAGCTCCCATTTTAGGTTCTTCACATTGGTTTTCTTTCTTTCTTTCTTTCTCTCTTGAATGATTTATCTTTTTGGTAGTCTTCCTATCATTTCTTTGGTTCCCTACTCTCTTTTTTATTCTGAGCATATACCTTATTTTCCCCATTTCCTCTTCCTATAGACTCATCTTTCTTTTCCTTTTTAAAAGTGTGTTTGATTAGAGTGACCAACCTCCTGATTTGCCCAGGACTGAGGGGCTTCTAAGGATATGAGACTTTAAGTGCTAAAGCTGGAATCAGTCCCAGGCAAGCTGGCATGGTTGGTCACTCTATCCTTTGACTGTTATTCCTGGTTTTCCCGCATTCTGTCTCTTGCATTTATTTTCTTGGTGTTTCATCCATTTATGCTTGCTTCATGATGGAAAATGGAGGAAAAGAAGAGGAATAAGTAGACACCAGATACATTATGCTTGCCTTATGGGAGAAACAGTACCAGAGTTTTGAGACTTTTTCCTTTGTCCCTTCTGCAGTTGTTACTTTGCAAAGTGCATGCATTCAAAAACGTTACGGATGCTTAGTTCTTATACTTTCTCTGAAACCAGACCTTCCTAGTGACCCAAACAGAGAGAGAACAGGGCAACCTCTGAAACATGATTGATGTTCCATTGTGTTGTTCCTATGGTTTTGTTTGGGTTCTTGTTTAATTATTATTATTTGTGTGTGTGTGTGCCACACGCTTCAGAGTCATGGAGATTTCCTAACTTTTGGAAGCAAAACCTCTTGCCGATTATGAATGACGTTCTTATGTTTTGATTATCTGTGAAGTTTCAGAAAGTTATTTCAGAACTTTTACCCTTGTGGTTTGGCAATATGAATAACATATTAAAACTATTGGACCCAGTTCTTTAGATGGCATCCTGAACTGTACCCATCATGAAAGAGGCTGAGGAAATGAAGCTTTAGCAGTTGTATCTACCTCTTACTTCCTATATTAAAATGGACAAAAAAGCTGCCTATTCTATCGTTGGTCTCTTCTTTAAATTTGATTTTTCAGCTCATAGGCAGTTAGTGAAGATAAATATTAATCTTTTTTGAGTTACCTGTGACAACCAACAACTTAATGATTCTCGTTTAAAATTTGCTTTAAAACCTTTATTTCCTCAAACATAAATAAGACTATATGTCTAAGGCTTGCATATGACTAGTATGTAAACATTTCTGTAGCTAGAAGGACTTTATAAACACCTAGGTAAAAATTATAATGAAAATAATATGTAATTAAATTAAAAATTTAACTTGAAAACTGCTAAGGGAGTAGATTTTAAGTGCTCTCACCACAAAAATAGTATGTGAAGAGTAATGCATATGTTAATTAGCTTAATTTAGCCATTCCACAATGTATACGTATTTTCAAACATCATATTGTATACCATAAATGTATACCATTTTTATTTGTCAGTTTAAAAAAAGCTTAGCATTCTTGGTACATTTCAATAGCTTTTAGATTTGGAAGTATATTCGAAAATATGTGGTCTATTGGAAATGTCTCCAAGTCCTATTGAGGCAAGCATGTGCTAGTGTTATTACCTAGAAAACAAACAAGGAGCCATTAAGAAATGATAAAGCTGTGATAACTTTACTTAATTAGAAATTAGCAGTCACCTTGAAGTAATGCTTACACAAACATGATGCGTGGATATTTGACAGTCAGCATGGCACTATAGGCAAGAAACCTCATGTATCTTGATATTCAGGAAAATCTTATATCCCAGTATTATGTTTTAAATGTGTAAAGCAGAACTGAAATCTGCTTCTTAAGTTCAGCAGGACTGACTTCATTGGTTGAATAGTAGTGCATTGAGCCAAAATCCAGCAAAAATGCCTGTGTATATAACAGTAGCCATTTAATAAATATTTGAGTGAGTGAAAATGTAGTGTGCTGATGGTAAGGCAAAGGACAAAATGCCACACTGAACAAGAGCATGGGATTCAAGGAATTTTTCTTCAAGTTCATAAATTAAACATCTCATGAGGTCTTTAAATATGTATAGAATGGAATAACTTGGGTGGGCGTGGTGGTTCATGCCTATAATCCCAACACTTTGGGAGGCTGAGGTGGGAAGATTGCTTAAGCCCAGGGATTCGAGACAAGCCTGGCAACTTAGGGAGACCCTGTCTCTGAAAAAGTAAAATATAAGTTAGCCAGACATCATAGTGCATGCCTGTGGTCTCAGCTACTTGGGAGGCTAAGATGGGAGGATCACTTAGGCCTGGGAGGTCGAGGTTGCAGTGAGCTGTGATCATGCCATGGCACTGCAACCTGGGAAACAGAGTGAGACCCTGTCTTTAAAAAAAAAAAAAAGGAATAACTTATATATATATACACACACACACAATTTTTTTTTAATTTAAAAATATTGTGAACTTGAAAAAACTCTAAATTCAGGCTAGTGGAATTACTTGGATAAACCCTTTAGGAAAATAATACCTGCCCTTTCCCCCATAGTTTTACTTTTTTAAAGCTATCCTACATGTCATCTATCAAAATAGCAGTTACATTTTAATGTATAGATAGCAGTGTTTTAACTTTTAACAAGCCACTTATGATATGGTTGCTTGATTTATTCATTCTTTATGGCACAGTACAGCAAAGTGTTTGTTATATACGAATATACTTACACCTACTCTATAAAACCTGGGAAATAATTGTATTGTCCTAAAGTATCATGAAATTGTACCATGCTTTCCTTTCTTGGGATCTCTTTTAACACCTTCTTCAAATAGCCCATTAATAATTTTTTGAATAGCTATTATCTCTTGATCATTACTCTCCTTCCCCAAAACAATGTAGAAATCCTGAATTTTTTTTTTTTTTTAAGGGTAAAGAATATTTGGCAACAGGAGATCCTGTGGTTAAATAAAATCTTACCTCATAACTATTACATGGAGGTTATATTAAAATTTTTGTGTAATAGATCACCATATAAAACACATGTTGAGGTACCAGTGAATGTTTATGAGAAAGACAGCCTGTTACACTTTAATGGTGGCTTATTCATGTAATTGATTTTTATTTTATTTTTATTTCATTTTTATTTTGTAAGCAATTTTAATTTAAATAAAAAATAAAATTCTGCATGCTGATTTATAGTTGGATTAGTCTGTACTGTTTGATCCTTGACCTTTAAATTTTATCACAATAGTCATTCTTCTGTTAATTGGGTGCATAACTGTGATATTTAATAATTACAGACCTTCCCTGGCTATTCACTTTTAATGTGAAGTTTTATCCTCCTGATCCTTCTCAATTGACTGAAGATATCACCAGGTACTTTATATTTGCATTTTGAAATGAGTCTTTCCTTACAGCTCTCATTTATTTCTGTGCCCTGGGAGCATAGTGGTAATTTCAGGATTGAAAACCAAAACAGTTTTTCTTAAGTTTTAGAAGTTTCCTTGAAATTGGGTACATCCAAATAGTTTGAAATGTTGACAGTTTCAAAAATTTTATTCACTTTCTTTAATTTCTTCATTTATATTCTAGTAATGAAAATGTTTAAAATGATACTGCTGACAACTTTGTTTTCTATACTTTTAAAAGTCACTAATATTTAATATTTGAGATTTTAATACCAAGGTCATTTTTATTGTATATAACTCATGTGTGCCTATATACTAGTCTTATATTACAAAGATGATACGAGGTTAGAAAAATGAAATTATTTTAAAAGGCCAATTGAACTGGTAATTTCTTTCTGTCTTCTCCCTCCAGAACCAAACAAGGTGGGATTTCTTACATAGAGTCAATAGCTAGTTCATTTCCATCTCCTTGGAGATTGTATAAGCTATAAGAACATACACTAAAATTGCAAAGAAGGATTCTGTTTAGGAGCAAGAGAATATTTATTGATTCTGAGTACTTGCATGGCAACCAAGAAACATTGTGAATTAACAAGTACCTTGAAATCTTAGCCTGATTAGACTGGGTACCAGAAACATTGTGAATCAATCAACAAGTACCTTAATCTTAGCCCGATTACACTGGGTACCAGGGATAGCATTTCTTAGCTTTGGTAAGAGGAAGTATAAAGGATTGATTTTTTTTTT